CTTTCTGGCTTCCTTTATTCGGGAATCCCCGTTCCGGTGCCTGGACTCGGTCATTCCCTACCTATCGCACAAGGGAAACCCAAAGGAAGACCAGTACTTGTCATGATGGTCCCCTCGTCGTGGTGGCACATCCCTCCCCTTTTGGCGCATGCCCGTATTGTATGATTGTTCATGTTTGTTCATGGATACGTTTATCCACTTAAAGATGATCCGCCAAAGGTTGTCCTATCAGCATCACTGAGTAGCTGAGTTTCTGCCCGAACCTTCCGAGATTTCTGGGCCCAAGTTTGGCAAACGTGGAACTTAACATCCCAAAGAGGGGAGCTGCGGAAAAACCCGCGGAATCGCGGACTAAAAGCACCTGACATAACTTTTCATCTCGAGCTTCTTGCAGCATCAAGTTTCGGGTTTCATATGCGGAGTAAATGAGCTGATTGGGAGTGAGTTTTAATTTCGCTTAATTTGGTTTTAACGTATCTGCCCCATTCCTTCTTACAAACGGCGCCTGAACAAAAATTCACGGCATTTAGTTGAAGTCAACCATTGTTTTAAATGGTGGCAACTGAAGAATCCCAGGGATTCTGAACGCCTGCTTGACGGGTCTGGAAAACACACTCTTGAAAGCGCCCTGGGGGGGGGGGGGTTCAGATGGCAACCCAAAATAGCCCCTACCGATCGTCTCTAATTCACGTAAACCATTTGCCCGCCGTTGGGTCCTGGTTCATGTCTTAATGCAGTGTTCTGATGCGTGGTTCTTTCGTTGTACATGTTGTACTTTCGAGATGTTCCTTGAAAGCGAATCAGATGTTGCATGGTACATGCTCAACAGGCAGGGACCTCCGGTCCGTTCTCCAAGTTTCAAGTTGAGGTGACATGGCGTAAAGCGTGTCTCGAGTTGTTTCTAACCATTCCCTTCACTTAGCGTTCGTTTTAGACACCGCCCATTCTCCCGTCCCAAAGCATTGTCCCCCACACTGGGACCCAACAAACCGACTCTCCCGCACTTTTTGAAGAGAAGGACCATGAAGAACCCCTTGGAAGTCTTACTCCCCGAATTTGTGGGAAGAGCAAACAGTTTGGATTTGTTTTCGGCAAATTCACTCAGGAAGTGAGGAAGAGAATGGAAATGCAAGGTACGGCATGAAATGGATCATTGGTGCCATCGAATTCCAATTGGTTCTTGTCGGCAGGATTGGCTCTTTCCCGAGCATTGGCACCCTAAAGCCTCGAACGTGGCTGGTGGACATGAATCCATACTGAAGTTTGATGTTTAGCACAGGGTCCCCCAATTAAGATTCATGCCATTCTAGAGGAGTTGGCCCGTTTTTGATTGCCTTAGTATGGGTTGCCCCCTCAATCAAGTCGTTTGTTTTGCCGTTACGTAGCCCTTGTTTGGTGGAGTTTTGTTTGCTTCTCCCCGAGTGTCCCCTCTTTGTACTGTTTTCGAAGGGAACTGGCATGCACATCAGCCAATCTGAGGGTTCCCGTATTTTCAGGCATCTGGAACCTGAAACAACAATTTAGAAATTGTGGTTTGCCAACCATCCATTTCCTATGAATAGACCTTGAAGAATGGCAGTTTGCAAACTATTTGTAAACAGTTTCAGCTAGGATGATGGGTTACCCAGTACATCCACAAGTGGTTGATGGACACGCCAAAGGGTCCGCTAGTAAAACCCTAGGGCTCCCTATTAGCTGATGACAATCCTGAACGGCAAACAATGGTGATTGCATTAATCTGCCTATTGCATGGTGAGCTCACCGATCGGGGGTATATAAGAACCAGCGAAAGCCATGATCAAGCTCCTTTACTTGGGCATCCCTGAATGTAGCTTTTGGAGTTATGTTAAAATTCGCAGATCAATCCCATTGTTGTAAATTATCGTTTGAATTTCAGGGACAAAACAATACCCATTTTGCAAGATCAGCCAAGCAGTGCTTCCAGCCAGGTGACGACCGACACCTTATGCGACGGTATCTACGATGGGCACGTGGTGGTTACCGACCAGGGCATGACGGAGGCGAAACTGCGGGCCCTTTTTCTTTATGCCTATTTGGTTGGATCTTTGAACTTTAACTTGTTAGGAAACAGTGGGTTTGCATTTGACCCGCAAAAAGATAACTTTTTTGCCGAGGGGTCAGCAGCAACCAAGGGGCCCCTCACGATGTTTCAGGCAGCCGTAGTTGATGGTTTGGACTGGTGATGTGGGGATTTCAACTCCCCTTGCAATCAACATGGCCTATATGATGGCTGGCGCCCGAAAGTCCAAACCACAAATCCAAAGTACCAATGGGGGGGAAGGTGGAGGTTTTCCGGACCCTCGGAACGATGGTTTACTTCAAGAAGAAAGGAAAAGACACACCTTCACACACCAAAATTTACGTTCCTCCAGGAGTGGCCAACTTTCCCACATGATGCTCCCAGCCCATGCCCTTCATGAAATGGCAGTACCTTGGCATGTTGACTACTTTGAGAATCTCATGGAAGGAAGAGCTGTGAGCTTGAGCTCATTTCACTGCCTGCCACCCTTCAGATACAGCCACATGCTGTCAGAGGATGGAGCTACTGCCAGGGCTGCCCAGGAACTTGCACTTGAGGACTTTAAGGCCCTTCGCAATGCTGAGGCTGCAGAAGCAGCTGGCTTTGAAGTGGAGCCGTTGGCTTGTATGCACTGGAAGCTGAACCCAATGATCAGGGATATCTACTTGGCCCATGAGCAGGATGAGGCTATTGGTAGGAGCTGCCAGCCTCACAGTGCAGCCATGAGGCTGCACAAAGTTGTGGGACCCGATCCAACAAATTCAAATTGATCCAGACCCCAGCCATGTGAACTTTACCACGAAAGCCTGGAGAACCATACAGTTCGGAGCCGCTTTCGGAGCTCCACATTTCAACTGGGGGACAACCGCAGATTTTTTTTAGCTTCCCATTTAGCTTGGTGGTTCCCAGGCATGCGGTTCCTGAGCTTTTTAGCTTTTTATAGTGTTTCGGTGGTAGTTTCCATTAGACTTTCAGCGGGGGATCGGAAATCGGGCAGCCCAGTTACCAGGTGCCATTTTGAGTACATTTGTTTAAAGGCCACAGCCATTTGGAGCCCTGAAATAGGTGGGGTGTCCTTCTGTTTAGCCTTCAAACCTACCCCACAAAGGAGACCAACGCCCCATATTTTCACTTACTTGAAAGCGAATCGACGTGAAATGCTCAGTAAAGGTCCGTTCAAATCCCCTTTAAATTGCACATGGGGGTTCGGCCCAGCGAGTAAGTTGTTGGTAGTCTAAGTTATAAGCCCCCAATTAGCGTTCTTAGTTGGCTTTACCCCAGGTGGCTAACTACTTTCCCCACTTACCGCTAAGACTCCGAACATCCTAATGTTCACCCCATATTAGTCAATTCCAGTTTATTAATTGTAAACGCTTCGCGTTGCCCGCCTCGGCCCAGCCTAGTTTGAGGGAAGGGTCAGGAACACCGAAATCCAGTGTTGGGAAGGTCCGAATCCTACTGAAAGCTTGTGACCGCACCAGTTCGCCCGTGCTAGTTCGATGTTCGGAAGCCGTCCTGCTCGGACAGTCTCGGGCAGCTTGGCTGGTCCTTGCTTGCGTGGGTTGTTGGTTGAGCTGGGCCTGAAGCTAGTTTACGGCGGGCTGGGCAGCCGCACTGAGGGGGCTGGGCTATGGCTGGGCTGGGCCTGAGGCCAGTTTCAGACACGTCAGACAGGCCTGGCCAGCAGGCGGACTGGGCTGGGCTAGACGCTAGTTGAGCCCAGGCTGGTGAGGCCCAGGCTGACTGCGAGTCTGAAACAGGGTCTTGGGTGAGGTTTGCTTAGGCGGGTTGCTGGTTGGGCTGGGCCTGAAGCTAGTCTCAGTTGCTGGCTGCTGGGCAGCCGGACTACGCTGTTGGTTGCGCCTGGAACTTCGGCTGGGGGGCTGGGCTGAGCTGTGCTTGGGCGGGTCGCTAGGCCTGTCTCATACACACTTGGGCCTGAGGCTGCAGACACGTGAGACTGGTTGGCCTGAGGCCAGTCTCAGACACGTTGGACAACCTGACCTGGCACGCTGGGCTGAGCCTGCTGTCTCAGCCACGAGGCTGCAAGGGGTGGGTTGCTGGCTGCCGGGCAGCCGGACTACGCTGCTGGTTGCCTGGAACTTGGGCTGGGCGGGCTGGGCTGAGCTGTGCTTGGGCGGGTTGCTGGATGGGCAAGGCCTGTTTCATACACACTGAGGCTGGGTGGCAAGTTGCTGGCGCTGGGCCTGAGGCCAGTCGCAGACACGTAAGACACGCCAGCTGGAGGCTAGTCTCAGGCTGGCATACATTGTTTTTTTTTCAGACTGCGCCGAAGGTCTGCTGGATGACTTGGGGCCAGACACGCAGGAGGTCAAGGCCTGGCCAGCCTGGGCTGAGCAGCCGGACTGAGGGGCTGGGGCACGTCAGACAGGCTTAGTAGCTGGCGTAGCTTGAGACCAGTCTCAGACTTGTGAGATGGGCTGGTGGGCTGGCATACTCTGAGATGCGCCGGGCCTGGGCTGGGCAGGCTGGGCTGAGGTGGGTTGCTGGGCTGGGCCTAAGCTAGTCTCAGCCACGAGGCCATGGGTGGGTTGCTGGCTGCCGGGCAGCCGGACTGCGCTGCTGGTTGTGCCTGGAACTTGGGTTGGGCGGGCTGGGCTGTGCTTGGGCCTGAGGCTGGGTGGCGAGTTGCTGGCGGGCTGGGCCTGAGGCCAGTCGCAGACACGTAAGACACGCCAGCAGGCGGGCTGAGGGACTGGGCCTGAGGCTGGCGGGCTGGGAGCTGGGGGCCGGCCTAGACATGCGCCGGGGCCTGGGCTGGGCTGGGCTGGCCTTGCTGGGGGTGTTTCAGACAAGCTTGGGTCCAGCAGGCGGGTTGCTGGTTGGGCTGGCTGAGCCTAGTCTCAGACACGTCAGACAGGCCTGGGTGGGGGGGGGGGGCGGGCCGGGGGGGTTGGGGGAGGGTCTCTTTGGAGAAGAGATCTGAGCGCCCTGAGCCGAGGCGAATAATCGGGGGGTGTTCCCTCCAAAAGTGGTCAGATTCCCCACATTTCGCCCAGGGTCACTCCCCTATGAATAAACTGCCTAGCCAAGTTGCTGCTTTCTTCAGTCACTGCGGGTTTGTGGGGAAGAGTGCATTTATTTATATAGATTATAATATATATATATCTATATATATATATATATATATATTAAAAAGCAAAAAAAAAGAGCGCAGCAACTGGCGATCCAGGTGGTTGGTTGCTTTATCTGGGGTCAAGGGATTTGCTCCGATCACTCGGCCAGGCCCTGGCTTTGGCGCAGGAGCAGAACCGCACGCTGAAGGTGCTCATCCGCGACATCACGGCCCCGGGCCTCGGACCTTTTTATTGAGCTCTGGGCAGAAAATGCGATGTTCGAAGGGCGACAGTGTTCCGCGCAGCGCCACGTTTTTGGGAAAAATCGGGGACCACTTGGGATTGCGCCGTTTTTGTTGAAAGACTGGGAACCCCCCCCAACAATATCTATATATATATATATACAATGGGCGGTTTTGGTTTTACTTTTGGCTTTTCTGACCACGCCAGCAAAATGGTTGCTACCCCCAAAGCAAGAGAAGCCCAGTTGGACGGGTGTCCTTCTCTGCTTTTAGGTCTTGGTGGCTTTAAACCGAAATCACCATTGGCAAAAGGGGAGCTCAAATGGGGTTCAGCGTTGGCTTTTTAAGGAAAACGGGCAACCCCAGGAACACCTCCAAACAATCCAAACCGCTGATCAAGGAAAGCTGAGGATTGAGTAAATCACATCGGAGGGGTATTTTACTGGCCAAGACGAAAAACGGGAAACACACAAAAAAAAACAGCAGCCAATCACATCTATAGCGCTTACAAACAACCGCTCTTGTCGCGTCTGGGAGTCTCCTGGCCGGCGACGGCTGCGGGGAAGCGTTGCGCCGGTTCGGGATACTCAGGGACCGAGAAATCCACTTGCGGCCTTAGACCTATTGGCATCTTGTTGGAAGAATGGCTTGTCCGTTAAACCTGCAATACTCACCTTGTGAGCTCCTGGACTTGATAACTACCTTTCTGGGAAGACCATTGTAGCGTAGAAAACATCTCCTGTTTGGCCCGTCCACTCAGGCAGTGAGACAAAACGTCTTGTTTTTGGCGAACAGGGAAGGCTCAGGGCAACCCAGTTGGGATAAGAAATCCTCCAGAGATGGGCCATTGTAGATCCCCACGTGCTTAAAACTGGAATTGGGGAGGGGGAGAAATCGACCCTTGGAGATCTCCATTTGTAGCAACCCATTTTCCCACTTGTCGGGAAGACTAGATCAATAGAATAGGCTTGAGTCCTTCCCGTTGCCACTATATGATATGGTAGGTAACCACGAAACATCATGTAAACTCCAGAGGTAAGACCACCGAAGGGTTACCTCTAGTGGCTTGCCTGGAGGCACCGGGCTTGACTTCCCTTTTTCCATGGGTTTTACCGAGGAATTCCGTTTTGGGAGGTTGCCCTATGTTTGACCCACGGCGTTGGCCGCCAATTTTTTCGGATTCCGAGGGCGCCGCGGTGCAGAACTTTGAGCTTCGTGAGGCTGGGTTCCTTTCCCCGGATCGGTTTCTGCAGCCAGCGGTGCCTAGACACACTGCCTTTAAGCAACAGGGAATTCACCGCTGCAAAGATTGCATTGATTCAGAGCCATATCGGGAGCCAGAAGGGTGTTTGCTTTTTGTTGGACCCCCCGAAAAGCTCGAGCTCCTTTTGTTCCCCTTCAAAACCCACCAAAAAAGATGTCCCCTTAAAACAAAGAACATCGAGAAAAGAAGTTCAGGGCCCTTCATGTAGTGCCCCCCACAAAAACGTCTGTCACGCTTTTCGGCTGCAACGGTTCCCAATGGCTCCCGTGGAAGGAGGAAGAAACTCTGTTTCTTCACGGCTTGCAATACCACTGGTAAGTTCCTCGAGGAAACCAGTGCGCCGTTTTCGAGTCACAATCAATTGCCGGGTCGGAGAAGCTTGAGGGATAGTCCCTTTACGTGATGTTGGGTGGATTTGTTGAGGTTTTGATTGTAACTCTCGGTCAAAATCAACCAAGTTCCCATTGTTATTGTCCTCGCTCAGTGAGTTCACAGACTTTAGTCACTTTTTAGGACGACCATGTTAGTGGTTTGTAGATGAAGGTTCCTAAGGGACACTCGCAGCCAGAAACAGCGGCAGCCGCCTTTGCATTTCCTTACGTGGTTCTGGGTCAACCATTTTAATACCGGGTTTTGTTTGTGAGTCAAGTGAGAACACCCTGCTTTTTGTGGGGTCCTTGTGCCTATTTCGACACACGCCCCTTTGTCAAGACGTGAGGTGGTGGCTGCCTGGAAGTATCGCGCGCCGGTGTGGTGGCCCGACGTCGGGGCTCTCAGAAAATGATCCAGCCTTTCACTTCCATTTGCTTAAGCATATATGTGATTTTCCCTTGTTGGTTTCTGTGAAGAGGGCACTCAAATTTCATGAGCATGAGCAGCATGGACGACCAACTGCAACGTTGGCTCAAGACGCATCGGAAAAGGGTGCGCGCTAGTTTTTACCCCAACATAACCGTAGGTTATGAGCCCAAGCCAGCCATGACGCGCAGGCGAAGACAACAACAAGATCTTGTTCGTGAAGGAGAAACCGCCGACCAGGCGCTGGACAGGATGATCCGCGAGCATGGGTCTTCCCGGAAGGCAAGGTCGGAGAACCTGGGGGAGAGGCGCGATCTTCGGAGGATGACAGCCGGTGGGGAGCCGGCGGGTCGGGAACCCGAGGTGTGGACGCTGCCTCCGGGACTACATCACGGAGATGAACATGGTGCGGGAGGGGCGGGAGACCGTGGCCCACCTTTGCCACCTGGAGAAACGGGAATTATGGAGAGGCCGGGCCAACATCCTGGAGAAGGACAAGGAAGTGGAAGACCTACGGAAAAGGGTTCTTCGAGAAGCGGAGGAGACCTTCGAGCGGGAGGTCATGAGGCTGCAAGCAGCAAGGGCGGGAGACGACGTTTCCTACAAGACGGCCGGACGGAGGAGCAACTGGTCCGGTACCACCGCCTCACCCTGAAGCTGTGAGGAACTTTGGCCATGGATGGGCCACTGAGGATCGACCTCCTCCACCGCCGCCTCCACCGCCTCCGAGAGCGATTGAAGGAGGTGGCGAAGCTACGACGGCTTTTAGATTGTCGGAGGCCCTGAGGAATTTGGAGCTTCCTAGTCTACCCCCACCTGGAGGTGAGGGGTCGTCGCTGCAATTTGGAGACTGGGTGACGGTCATCACCCCGCTGATGTCAGACATTGCGGGATCGGCCAGGCTGTGGCTTACCTACGCGGAGTGGCTTACGGCGACACCGTTGGAGAAGCTCCGGTTGAAGCCCACGCTGGGGGATGTTGAGGCACACAATCACCGGGTTGAGCAAAGGGGATTGTCGATGCTTCTGGCGGCCTTGCCGGACCCCATCAGGAGGGAGATCATCTCTGCCCGGATGATGTCCGTGACGGAGATCATGTTCCGGCTTCACCAGGTGTATCAACCTGGAGGCACCTTGGAGAGGGGCAACCTGTTGAATTCATAGACCTTGAGACTGTGGAGGAGATGGTTGGCAAGAGCTGAGGAGTTGGATGTGGCGCTTCCGGACGGGCTGGTGCTGATCATGGTCTTGGGAAAGATCGCAGAGGTGGTCGGCAAGACCGGGGCTCAGGCTTCATTTAGAATCTCCTCGGTTTGGCAGGAGCTGCAGATTGATATTCGGCCTCAGATCGGGAAGATCAAGCAGTTCGCGGAGTACCTGCAGGCTGAAGCAGAAGAGCTCTCGCTGACGACGGCGATTAAGGCGGCATCGACTCCGGGAGCAACGGGAACGGGCACGGCGACCTCTAGCCTGAAGGCGTTGGCGGCAGCAGGAGCTACGGATGCGACTCCGGAAGTGACGGACAACAGGAGAAAGCCCCAAGGCCCTGCTTGTAGGTTTTGGGGAACAGATGGAGGATGCAAGAAGGGGAGCAGCTGCACCTATGCAATTCGTGGGAAGGCCTGGAGAAAACCAACAGATGCTTTGCGTGTTCCGGGATGGGCCACTCGAAAGAGGGATTGCCCGGTCAAGAAATCCACGACTGTGAGCCCTTGGAAGCAGCTGGCTCCAAAGGTGTCCAAGGTCAAGAAGCCAGGAGATGAGAAGGGACCGACAGAAGGTCAGGCAGCTGGCGGCGAAGGGGCCCGCCGTAGTGGCTCACCAGGCTCCGCGGAGGAGGCGTCCCGGGAGGCTGCGGGGTGGAACCCTGGTGCCGCTTCATCGGCTTCGAGATCAACAGGAGAGCAGGCCAGACCGCGGTCGGAAGAAGCCTCAGGTTAGCTGACAGAAGTGGCAGGCCTGCTGAAGTCTTTGAGGTCTATCCGGGCGCTGCAGATCAAATATGCTGCGGCCGGGAAGGAAGCAGGAAGGAGTGAGGAAAAGGAGCAGGTGGCGTTGTTGGACGGCGGAGCCACCCACGCGCTACGACAAGCTCGACGACACGAGACGGACAATCTCACAGCGGTGGAGGTGGAACTGGCCTGTGGAAGTACGGTGCTGTACAAGCATGCCGGAACGTCTGCCATTTTGACGCTGGAGCCGGTGGAGCCCATCATACCGCTGAGGATGTTGGTAGACGCTGGATTTGGTGAGGTGGAATGCCAAGGGGTGCAGCACTGAGCACCCCGGCCACGGAAAGCTGCACTGCTGGCTGCGGTATGGCTACCCGGTCATGCGAAGGTCAGAGGCGATGAAGCTGATGGACTTCTTGGATGCCCCGGAGAAGGCGGCTACAGGAACGATGGATGAGGAGCGGTGGCAGCGATGGTTTCCGAGCATCCCGGATGAGGTCCTGAAGCTCATGGGCCGGGTGGAAGGAGAAGCAGAGGTTGCTGCACGATGCCCCTTCAATCGGAGATTGAGGAGGAAGTGGGAAACGAGCAAGGGCGTCGTGGTGCATCTTTTCGCTGGCCGTGATGCCAAGGAATGGCGGAAGGAGGATTGGGGCGGCTATGAGGTCGTCACGGTCGACATAGAGGAGGACGTCAGGCAGAATCTTCATGACGGTGCGTTGTGGGGATACCTTTGGAGCCTGGCGGAGAAGGGGCTGATCAAGGCAGTGGTGGGGGACCGCCGTGCCGAACTGTGTCAAGATTGAGGCATCACCAGCCTGGACCCCCACCTCTGAGAGGAAGGGACGTTTGCAGGTTTGGCCTTCCTGGCCTTTTGGAGGAGGACAGAAAGAAGGTTAATGGGGACACGGCGTTGTTCTTCAAGCAGATGGGCCTGTGGCTTCGGGCGCAGGAATGCTCCGAGGAGAAGAAGGGACCTGTGGGCTTCTTGCTGGAGTCGCCCATGGACCCAATGGAGGTACCTTCTTTTTGGAACTTCCAGGAGGTTCAGGACTTTTGCCAGGAGAACATGCTGGACCTGCTAAGCTTTGATCAAGGAGCGGCGGGCCATCCGAGGAGAAAACCCACCACGCTGGCAACCAACTTGCCAGGCATGGGGGAGCTCCACGGAATGAAGGGCCAAGGTCATCAAGAGATGGAGGGCGACCTCCGCAACGCAAGAGGCGGGTCCAGACAAAAACCTGGGCGAAATGGGCGCCTGGGCTGGTGGCGGCCATCAAGATGTCCCTCAAGGAGCTGGTCAAAAGGCTCGAAGAGCGGAAGGAAGAGAAAACCATGGAGGCAGGGGAGCTCAAGAAGATGACCCTTTTCAATCGACGGTGCCGTATCTGTATGCAGGAGGCTGGAGTGGACCGGCAACATTGGAGATTGAAGGCGGACATTCCGTCCTATGTCCTCAACGTGGACATTGCTGGGCCGTTTTCGACAGGGGAGGACGTCGGAACGAGCAGAAAGGTGAAGTACGTGCTGATTGGGACGGTCCCGATCCCGCTTGGAGCCGGGGACAAGGAGCCTTCAGAAGCGGCCGAGCCGGAGGAGGAGGACCCAAATCCAGCAGACTGGGAAGAGGAGGAGGATCAACCCCGTGCATCAGATGAGGAGGCCAAGAGGCTCAACGACAAGGTTAAGGACGAGATGGCCGACGCTATGAAGGGCGTCGCGGTGCAGAACGTCACGATGGCGGAGGTTATGGAATCGAGGAGCGCCAGAGAGGTCATTAGAGCCATCAGCCTGATCTTTGTGAAGTATCGCAGCCTGGGCATCCCGCTGTACCGCATGCATCGCGATCGGGCGAAGGAGTTCCTGGCGAGGCCGGTGCAGCAGTGGTGCTTAGAGCACAATCTGTTGCTCACCATGACGGCGGGCGATGACCATGCCGCCAATGGACGAGTAGAGACGGAGGTCAACCAGGTGAAGAGAAGGCTGCGAGTACAAGGATTCAGGGGCTCCGGTGAAGCTGTGGCCTACAGCACTACGGCATGTGATGCTTCAAAGGAACCAGATGCAGCTCCAGAAACTTGGGGTGGACACCTTCCCGATGCTTCCGTTCTACTCCAAGGTGATGGTAAAGACAAAGCGGTGGCATAAGAAGGGCCCCCTGGCTCCTCCGTTTCGAGAAGTGCGCCTACTGGGTCCTAGTCCAATGATGAGTTGGGGCTGGGTGGTTCAGACAGAAGACGGGGCCATTCAACACACCAGGGCGGCTGTTCTGCCCGACGAGGAGGCCGACCACGCAAGGGACCTGGAGGCGGGAAGAGTGAGGTATGAGTTGGAGATGGAGGAACATCCAGGGGAACCGAGAACGCGGTTGACGGGCAAGCAGAGTCTGGAGCCAGGCCCTAAACTGGGGGGAGACGGAGAAGAAGGGCATCCAGCGGCAGATGGAGAAGGTCTGGCACCCGCTCTACGTGATCTGCGAACGGGGGGGGAGTACACCTCTCCATCAAAATCATGTAGTTTTCAAGAAAGCCTGGAGAAGACGAAGAATATCATGAGCAGCTACCAGTGGGGCTTTAAGGAAGCACTGGCGGAGGAGCTCAAGGTGATCCCCATGGATGAGATCACTGGGAATGGTCAAGGAGCAGCGATGGAGTTCCTCCTGGGTGGCATCAACCAGCTGGAGGATGACCTGGTGATCATGCAGGACCGGGAGAACAAGGACTTCCACAAGCTGGCAGGACTACAGGGAGCAGATGGAGAAGAACCGGCGAAGGTTTTGCAAACATACACGGTGCCGTTGCAGGAGGTGCGGAAGGATCTGGAAGCATGGAGAGAGGCGATGATGGACGAGTATCGCTCTCTGGTGAACACAGAGGTGGTCAAGCCTATCGACGAGTGCGATCTGGCGGCAGTTCCGGGGATTGAAGATGCCGAGTACGCCCCGGGGAAGCTGGTCACGACCATCAAGGCCCCGACGGGAAGAAAGAGGGCGAGAGCGGTGATCTGTGGCAATTTGCTGGCGGACGGCAACGGCAAGGTGGCGCGGACCTCGGCGGACAAGGCGGAGAACTATGCCGGGGGCATCGACGGGACGGCTCTGAGATGCGTTCTAAGAAAGGGAGCCCACGAACAGTGGTCCTTGCAGAAGGGGATCTTCCTTTTGCGAGATCGATGAGGCGGCTGGAAATGTATGCGGACATCTCTTTTGCGCCGCAGGGAGAGAAGAGCCACCAGGGAGTTTTGGGATTCTATGGTGGTGCCCTCGTCCAATGGGAATCGGGTCGACAGCCTTTTTGCACCCTCAGCACGGCAGAGGCGGAGTTGGTGGGCTATATCGAGGCCATGATCATGGGAGACTCCCTTTGTGCAATCCTGGAAATTATTGAAGGGGGATGCTGGAGCGCCAACGAGGCGGAGCGGGTGATCTACGGGGACAACACGGCGGCCTTGGCAATCGTGCAAAGTCCTTCGGGGCCGTGGCGCACACGGCATTTGCGCCTTCGATCCAACGTGCTGCGTGAACGAGTGCGAGAAGGGGAATGGCAGATCAGACATTTGCCGGGTAGCGGGTTGGTGGCTGACTACCTCACGAAGGCGGTCGCGGCAAGGACCCAATGGCTTCGGTTCTACTCCATGGCGGGCATGATCAAGGATGAGTCGGAGGTGGTTTCGCGGCCAGGACCAGGAGAAGCAGACGGTGGTCGGGTCATTGGCAAGGAGGCAGCGGTGAAGGTCGCTGCGATGAGTGGGTTGATGGGCATCATCGCCTGCTGGAAGCCTCAGGATCGGGGATCGTGCCTGATCCGGGATGTCTGCTTGGCATCCCTTGGAGTGGGTGTAGGATTCGTGCTGAAAGGCCAATGGGCCCAACCCAAGAGGGAAACAAGATCGGCTAGCGAAAATGAACCAGCCGCACGTGAGGACAACCCAATGAGGGTTGCAAAGATGGTCAGGGAAGATGAACCGACCGCAGTAGAGGACCCCTTTGTGACATCAAGATGGGCTAGGGAAAATGAACCAGCCCCGAGGGTAAAACCGGTGGATCTTTGCCGCAGGCCATTTTACCACTGCCCTACGGGCTGCCCTGCATCAGTAGGTAAGGGTCAGGTGCCGATCGGGGTGAACGAAGCCGCAGTCCGAGGGATGACAACAACCCGGATGACGCGGGACCAGCCCGTCCCAGGATTGGGAACACCCACGTCAAGGCCCCACAGGAGCGAGAAGTTCGACCACGGCTACGAGCTTTGAGGTGGCTGTTGAAGAAGCCATCTTCGGAGGAGAAGATTGAGGAGAAGAAGATTGAGGAGGAGAAGAAGTCAGAAGATCCAGAGGAAGATTCGCATCAGGGTGGACCAGCACTCCCATGGGAGCTCGATCAGTACAAGGTTCCCCCGATGCTCAAGAGTAAGAACAAGGATGAATGGGATTGGTCCCAGCCGGGATGGGCAATCCGCGCACATGGAAAACCTCGGAAGCGCAAGTTCCACCCGATCCACAGGGAGTTTTCCATTGATGCAGCGCAGCTGGAATCGAGGAGGATCACGGTGAAGCTACACACGGGCACATCGCCTTTGGGGATTCGGTCCGTCGTGGAGGACAGCTGGACGGCTCACCAAGAGCGACAGAGGACTTCGCAGATGCAACCATGGCGGGGGTACACCTTCTTCCAGATCAAGGTTGGGAAGGGGCAGAATTCTGGCGGAAAATCCACGAGGAATCGTGCGAGGGCTTCAACGAGCGTAGATCCAAGGGCAATTGGGTCTGGTGGCGGAGAGGTTCACCACGGCTATGCACGAGGCAGCTCGGAGAAGCGGGGTAAGGACGCGGGGCCGGTCTTGACGTTCCCGGCGACGGAGACGTTTGGAGACAGAAGGCCTCAAGGAGTTTTTCGAGATGAGGAATCCGATAAGAGGGCCTCGTCTTCGGACTCATCCAATTGGGATGTGGTCTGATGGTGTGGCAAATGCCACAGGGGGGAGTGTAAAGAGGGCACTCAAATTTCATGAGCATGAGCAGCATGGACGACCAACTGCAACGTTGGCTCAAGACGCATCGGAAAAGGGTGCGCGCTAGTTTTTACCCCAACATAACCGTAGTTTCAAACGGAATTTATCACTACTGGACACATGTTTTTTTCTTCTAGGGTCTTAACCCAATGGAAGTTCATGAGCGATCTTTCCTCCTCAGCTGCGTGAAGTCCTACAGGTTGCTTCGGCCAGTCACATCCAAGTAGTCTTTGATAGTCCTGGCGGCGCCTAGGGGCCGGAACACTCAGCCAATACCACCCGAAACTGATCAAAACACTGAAAGCCGAGAGCGGACCACCCAACCTCCTCGTGGCATCGATATTAGCAGTGGGTTTTGTCCGCTACTCATATGCCTTTCGTGTGGTTGATCTAAACGTGCGTTTGGAGGGCAGCTGAAGGTTTGTTTTTTTCTCTGAAGGCTACGCCTCTCATTTTGGGCGTTGCCCTATTTGCGAAATCGTGTTTACGTTGCCTTGAATGTGTCTTAGTTGGGTTTGCTCATTTTGAGTGTACGGGGCTGCAAAGAGCAAGGCTGTTGCTTGCGTGCCAAGAGCCCCACCCTTATTAAAGTATGGAACAGGAAGGTGCCCAGAACAAAGGACCCTTCCAATATTCACGTCCTTACAAACCGTTTGGACTTGCTTTGCCCTATCCACTCAGAAGTGAGGATTCCTTTACATGCCTTCCATTTGTTTAAGAATATTGTTGATTTTCCCCTGTTGGTTTTAAAAGGAATCAATCACGATTGGACATAAAACATTTTTCCAGGAGGCTTAAGCAAATTGAAGATGATCACTTTATGACAAGGGACATCAAGGACAGGAGCATATTTGCCTCGCGGCCTTTGGCTTCCGCTTCACCGATTTTGACTCAGCCCAGGAATGGCAGACCTTCTCGCTTGATCGTTTGAGAATGATTTTGTGTGGTGAAGCCCGCGTTCCCTGTACAGCACCTGAAGTCTCCACCCTCAAACAAATGCAAAAACAATTCCTGGACAACATATTTATCCCCTACTCTACATACCCGCTTTGTCCAGCGTGCTTTTGGAGAAAATATGGTTTTGCGGGGTCAATACGTCCTTTGTTAGTCCTCATGAGGATTTTTTGTCCAACCCCCATTCTTATTGTTTAGGCGATCGGGGAGCGAATCGATTTCGGCGTGTCTTAGAATAGGGACCTCCGCAAAAATGTTGGTTTCCTTGTGGTTTCCTTGTTGTTTCCTCATGGTTTCCTTGTGGCTTCCCTTTAAGCCAACCCCTCAAACATACACGCATTTTCGTGGACCCCGAAAGGCTGGCTATGGGGAGGCTATGTCAGGTTGCTGTAACCAGGTTACAGCCCGCGTTTTTCAGTCCCCCTAAGTGGGTTGGAACTCAGGTGGCCAACCACTTGCTACCCTTGGCAACGAACATCCAAGCAACCAGCCCCGAAAATTCTTCCAACTCAAAACATACGACTACGACCTCCCCGAGTTCGTGGACTTTACCAATGTGATTGGCAACTAGGACGTTGTCTTACTTCTTGTTGGGCCTGAGCCCCATTCCTCACCTACTAATTGACATGGAGCCCCGAAAGGGGTTCGTTTCCTCTGGAGATACCGCTTCTTGGGTTCCTTCCATGAATCTGCAGCATGAGCAGCATGTGAGAACACCTCAAGGTTCAATTCCCATTAAACAAATTCTTGACATAATTTAGATGATGACAATTACCAGTTGTAAAGATTCCTACTAGGGGGAGCCATGACCCAATCGACCAGAGAAATGGAGTTTTCACCATAGAAGGTAAGGGATCCTTACCTCTAGGTTTTACCATGGATGGTTTCCCCTCGTTACCTACTACTCAATCCTGAGTTCATGAGCTTTCAACATTTTTTGAATGACCATTTTAGTGGTAAACCCAAAGTTCCAGGACTTTGTTTCGGCCAGTCCACTCAAGTGAGACTATGGCTGGCCCGGAAGCACTGGCTTCATCTGGGTATGGGTCAAAACTAAATACATTTCCAGGCGACCCGCAGGTCTTAGTCCTTGAATTCCAATTACCGAACGGGCAACCCATCTCGGGGTGACCAACGATTTTCGGCCCACTGGCTTCATGTGATCCACCCACCATGGACCGCAGGCCCTACTGTGTGGATGGACAAATTCCTGCACCAGCTGAGAAACCCTGGTTTCTCATGATTCCCCCGTAAACACCACCAACGTGGTTTCAACCATGGTATCTTGGTGCGATTTCTGGATTTCGCGTCACCATCCACCGTACTTTTGGACAAGTTAGACGTGAGATCCCGCCGGCTCGAGGACCCGGACAACTGCTGGGACGTGAACGACTCCATGGTCGCTACGGCCCGCGGGCCCAGGATCGATCCGGCCGATCCGGCCGATCCGGTCGGTTTGTCCACCTTTGGACATGGAAACCACCCCTCAGAATGCAACCTGTAAGGGGGATCCAGTCACTCATTCCAGATTCGGGTAAAACCAAGTTGCAACCTTTAAGAAACAAATCCTTTGATGACAGAGTCCAGGTTTGGGTAGAGTCCTCGGTTGCAACCCTTTAAGAAGAATTCAGTGATCCCTGATAGGGTCCACGTTGTTTTGTGACTTCTTTTAGCTTACTTGCAAGCTTTGAGAAACACATCCAGTGATGACGTCAAGTTTTTGGGTGCCTTCCCTTGAGGCTGTGTTTTTTTTTTTAGCGACTCTCACTTCCCTCCTTTCCCAGAGGATCCCTTGCTACCTTCCAAAAATGCACTTAGGGGGGGGGTCAAAATGGGTCACCTAGACGGTATAATTCCTGGTTGCCTACTATTGTGATAACTGGATTCACTGGGGTAGACTGAATATGGCACAGAACCCGACCATTGTTTGACCACGGGTCTTTTCCTTTTTTCAGGGGCCCCCTTTTTGGGGTGTTTTAAAAAGGGAATTCAAAAGGAAACGCCCGGGTCCCCTACTTTGGGAGACAATGTGAGTTTCTGTGAACCCTTTGCGTCAAGTATTGGTCATCTGTGCTCTTTAGGGGCACTCTGGATGGGGCCGGAAAGTGAAACCGAAAGGGTTTCTTGGTAACCGAAAGGGTTTCTTGAGGAACCAGTTGACGAATTCCCGAAAGGAGCAAAGCCCAAAACTTGCTTTGCTTCTCTCGGAAAGGGGTCCATCAGTTTGCTTTCTGCCGTCATGATTTAGGACTGCCAAGAATCTAAGTACCAGCCGTTGTGAGAAAGAATCTGCTCGGTGCAAGGCATCCGGTGTGCCTGAGATCTGCTTGAGTTTACTCTCTCTGCAGATTCGCAGGCCTGATCTGGCAGAATAAGTGAATACGGTTGACTGGAAAGAGTCACCTGAGAGACTGGGATACACTTCGGAACGCGTGTCTTCTCAGACCGCACCATTTTGGTGTTTCTTTTTTAAGCAGACCCCCGCCCCCGAAAAAACTACGCACACTGCTGTTGTCCTTTTGCTTTCAATCCACCCAAACACGGGGACCTCAAAGAGACAACATATCAGACATTCCTTGGCTCGCAGGCTTGGCTGTGGATGGCTCCGACCAAGGATCATTGCTCCTGCAAAGACGACTGCAGATGCATGCCTGGGCACGCGCCCCAGTGCAAAGAGGGACTCGCGTGGTTCTATCGGGCTCCCATCGAGTTTTTCCGTGGATCGCCTTTTGTTGGGATGTATTGAAGCCAACGAAATGAGACTCCGGCAGCGGTTGGCTGGTTAGTGTCCCTTTAAATGCAAACCAAAAGGGGGTTTGGATTCCTTCCATTTGCTTAAGAGTATTCTTTATTTTCCCTTGATGTTTTTAAACGAATTTATCACTACTGGATTTTTTCCCAGGGTCTGAACCAAATGGAAGATTCCAGTTTGAGAAACTTCCATTTGCATTTGGGGACAAACTCCTTGGATTGGCCCGCCAACTTCGTCGACTGAACTCGCCCGACTCTGCCTCGTCGGAGAGGTCTACAGTAGGGCTTGCCAGCCACTTGGATCCTTTGTAAGAAGAGCACATTATCTTTGGCGCATTCTGCTTGGATGTTAGGACTTTAACTTTTTACCAACTAATGGATTTTCCATTAAACCACTCAAAGTTAAACTTTTAGCAGTGGAGCAGAAAGCAACCGAGTAATAAGAGAATCATATTGGATTGGTTTCTGCTTTGGTCTCCCTCCAGCGAGCATTGTTCTACCCTTGTGCAGGGGTCTGAAGAGACCAACCCTGACCTATACAACTCCCGATACTTTCCAAGTCAAGAAGTCAATGAGCCTTGATCGTACAAGTCAGACTTCAGCAGGTATGTTTGTTGTGTTCACGTGTTTTGCTGTTTGAGTGTTCTTGTCTCTCTTGACCTAGTGTACGCCCTCAGAAGCAATCCTCCAAGGGTATCAAGGACCCTCCAGGCAGTTTCATTGGCTGATATGTTGATTCATTAGACTTGGGCTCTTGTTGTGGACACTCTCTCTGTCTCTCTCTCTCTCTCTATATATATATATATACATTGATATATATATATATATAGGTGTGTTCCTTTCACCAAACATAAGTTTTACATGTTGCATGGAAGCAGCCACGCAGTGGCCATTTGCCCTTCCAGTAGGCTTGTGCGTGTCGTGGCTAAGGTGTTCAGAAGCGGACTGCTCCACCGACAACGACACCCTGAGAAGCTATACTTGCGTACGCCCATGCAGAACAACAACTCAGCATGTGGGTCTGTTTTTTTTGCGGGTGAGCCATTTCGGGGGGGGGGGTCGCTAAAAGAAGACATGCCCATCTGAAACGGATTAATCCGGAAGACAAAAAGGTCAGAGAACCCCCCCGAAAGTAGATCATGGCGTGACTAAGAGGGAACCACCCGCGAGCAGTGCGGTCCTCCGCATGAATCCGTCAACAGTATCAGGTGGTTCAACATATTTCGTGAGGCCTGTTGGAACCTTTGTAATTTATAACCATCTTGGAACCAAAAGTCAATGGGCGTTGTGCGCTGTTCATGAGGGGTCCACTCAAGATCCCACCGAACGGAACCCAGGCTCAATCAATGTCTGCTTCTGTACTTGGGTGTTCGGCCAAGTTGGTAAGTTGGGTATGACCCGCTTATGTCTAAGTGGAGTTAATCTGGTTGTTAGTGGGTTAGAACCCAGGTGGCTAACCAGTTACTAATTACTAACTTGGCTCAGCATCCAAGTAGGGTGTGTCCCTTCTACTTGCGAAGGGATCACCAATCAATCCATAGGATTATGAGGATCATTTATCCTGGGTCAACACGGGTTTAGCGTGGTTCGCTCGGAATGGCCCCTTTACCCTGCGGGACCTTTGCCTAGCCCGTTTTGAGTTGCGCATCCGGGATTTACAAAATAGACCTCCGTCTATTAACGTCGCGTTCTCGAAATGAGCCTCCAAGTGGTGGCAAGGGAAACTGCCCCGAAAAAGGAATGTTGAGAACCCTGGACATGTTCACTTGGTGTGCTTCTTACATTTTTGCAAGGGTTGGTTCAAAAGGAAGCCTGCAATTTGGCAAGGGGTCCCATTTGACACCATGCCGGAGTTGCCCAAATGCAGGTCCCTTTTCAGCATCCCTTTTTAGCATCGGGAGCTTCTAGACCCGGCAGGGGTCCACAAGGGCTCCATCTTTCTGAGAACTCCCCACCCAATCAAATGGTAAATGCTTGGATCTTCGCTTCGCCGAGCTCAAGCCGTGGGTCAAAACCAATGGGATCCCATGTTGGAGGCAGGTGAATTCGCCACCCAGTTTAGAACTTATTTTAGCGGTTGGATTGGGGCGTTCACTGGGGGTACGATATGGATTTTGACCCATTTTAGTCTAGTTTAGTGGGGATTGGGGCGTTCACTGGGGCTAACCGGTCCTTTGACCCATGGCCAGAAGTTGCCACCGAAAAACTACCACTCGCTTTGGCAAGTCGCAACTTCCCGAGTTCGCAGCTTCCTGGACTCCCAAAGGAGCGATATTCCCCTTTTTTTCTTTCTGCCGAAAGGACCCGTATAAACAAAAATTGGGGGGTACAAGTGGCAGAAAGAAAAATATGGAAGCGGTCCTTTGGGGGTTTTAGGTGGTTCTTTCGGGCTTCTGACCTGGTGGCCTTGTTGTACTTAACAACACCCAAGGTCCGGACGGTCCCACCTTCCGGCAATGGACCCCCAAAATACCCCCACCCACCCCCAGTGGGAAGGTGAAATTTGGGGTTGGTGTGTTTGGGGTTGGTCCAAACGGAAAAGCTCTGTCACAAGAGTGCCTCGATCCAACCCCCCTCTTTCTGCCCAGCTCAGTTTTCTAGGGGTACCTTCCCTATTCTTTCCAGGGATCCTTCTCTCTTGAACACCTCCAGAAACCCTTGGAAAACGGATCTGCTTTTTGGAAAATAAAGATGCTTGAACAGAATGGCAACAAGAAACTCCCCCCCTAAAAAAACCTTGGGGGTCACGGCCCAAAAATGGTTGGCTTCCTTCTGTTCCGACACGCCAGGCGTATGCGGGGCTCCGGGCCAACATGACGTCGCGGATCCAAGTGAAGGGCTCCCTGCGATGGCTCCCGGAGGAGTGCGCCGAATGGCGTTTGGCTCGTTTTGTGTCTTTTTTTGTTTTGGTTTTAGGAAACGGACCCACCCCAAAAGTGGATGTTGTTGCCTTTCCTGTTGGTTTGAAGATAGAAAGCCACCAAAACAAAGCTTGAAAAACAGTTGTTTAAGGAATCGGGTGTTCGGCCTAGTTAGTAAGTGGTTAGCCTGGGTTATAACCCACTTAGAATGGGGTTCACACAGAAATTTGTGGGTTATAACCCGGGTGGCTAACCACTTATTTACTATCTTGGCCGAACATCCAAGAACCTACCCCCGAAAATGGGTGTTGTTGTTTTCCTGGTGGTTTCCGGATAGAAAACCACAAACACAAAGGCACTTGCAAAAACATGCACACACACGCACACATCCAAGTTGTGATTTCATGCCCCCCCTTTGGGCCAAGGATGGCGGGGAGGTGAGAAGTTCATTGGGAATTTATGGGCGTTTCAGACTGTTCTATTAGATGTGTGTACCGTGCTTAACTCACAACTTTTGGTGTTGGCGAGGATGGTTAAGGCTTGGTGACGTTTGCATTGCCAGCGAACCATCACCAGGATACCAAGGAGAGCATCAGGAAGTGCTGGCAATGTGCTTGGAGTTCACTCCAGACACTCCTCTTGTTTCCTTGTTTTTCCTTCTTTTTGAGGGGTTCCCTTGAAAAGGTCAACGAAAGGTGCATGATTGTTTCCCCCATGGCTACTGTGGGTTTGGGGGGGGGGCATCCCTTCAAAAAGTCAAGACGTGGCGCACGATTGTTTTTTTTCCCCATGTCTACTGTGGGTTTGGGGAGGTTCAGAAGAGGGCACAGCCCAACTTTTTCCCATGTCGTGGCAAGCGCCCAAAGCGAATCCCCTTTTTGGTCAAGTTGTTATGTCCCCCTAGGTCCCCCAGTAGTGCCCTTTTACCAAACAAATATTTTTTGGGGGGAGGGTTCCCCTACTAAAATAGACTGCAGCAAAAAAAGTAGGTACCAAATTATTCTAACCTCTCTGGAGGACCTAACATTCGCCTTTGATTTCTGGGTCCCTAGTGCATCTGCTGGGAGGAAACCATGCTCACTTGTTCCCAGGCAGGAAGCAGCCTTTGTCTCGACGGCTTACCCCCAAACCACCAGGGAAAACTGGGGTATATACCCTTTATATAGCGGCTTTCCGGCGGCTGTATAGCCCATTAAACGTTTGGGGGTAGTGGTTCAGGAGTAGTGCAAACCATCTTAGATAGTCCGTTCAGGCTTCTTGAAATTCAAGTTGACATTTTCAGCTATATATGGGGTCTGCAGGTACGGATGCTAATACGCCACCAAAGTAAGCTTGTATGGCAGCATATCCCCCTTATATAAGTGACATATCAGCTATACCTCCAAACAGTACCTGGAAACCTCCGTGAGAAAACGATCCTTACCTTGGTGGCCCCCAGCGGTCCCCTTGGCTTTTTAGGCTTCTAGGGTTTAGTGGTAGTTTCCATTTAACCCACTAAAAGCTAAACTTTTAGCAGGGGATCTGAGGGCAGCCCAGTTACGTTTCCCGTTCACTAGGGGCAGCGGGCAACTGTCCAGGGGGTGCGGCTTTACATGTCAAACCATGTTTGCGGCCGAGCCATGTAGCCCAGGCCCAGGCTCGCTGAAAGTTTGCACCCGTTTGTGGTCCATTTTAGGAGGGGATGGGGAACTTGCGTTTTTCCTCAAGGGGACAAGCTCTAAGTGTCTGGTTCTCAAAATAGTCCCAAAAGATCTCACTTCCTGAGTTCCTTTAGACTTTTGTGGCATCGACTCAGAAAGCTCCGTTCGAGAAACACTGGACATCTTGGCCGTTCGTCCGTGCCTCATTCAACTTATATGCGAAACTCCTGAAAACCCCCTATTTTGTTGGTTTCAACCATCGCGTCCGCGCAGGACTGGACGTGCCCCGGTGACGCTGTGGCCACTTCCCAGTACTTCGGGGACGGCCGGCGGCCTAGCTGGGGCTGTCCTTGTGTTAACTGCAGCCTTCTTGCATGTTCGTTACCAAGTTCGTAAGTGCTTAGTCACCTTACAGCCCACTGACAAGGTTAACTCTACGGGGGACTCATGAGGCCCAATCATGTTTCCCCTTTCGGTGGCTGTAACCATACATTTGGGAGGGGGGGGGACATTTAAATAACCTTTGGTTGGGTGATTATTGGTGAGGGAATATAGGAAGCCCTGATTACACTTGATACCAGGACTTTCCAATTTGTGTTTGAGCGGCCGTACCGACAGAATGCTGATTGGGCAGCTTCGATTTTAATTAGTTTAAACGTCACCTTAGGACCCCCAATGGCTGTCAAATGCTTGGACACGTGACCTTCGGTAGGGACTATTTTGGCGCCATTCAGACATCTATTGAATATTGGGGGGTGATGGTTTGCCAACTCGCAGAGCGTTTCCTTTGTTATGATGCCTATCTCGTTCGTAACCCTGCTTTTCACGCATGGGGTTATCATCCTTTAGTCTTGCCGAATGATTCCATTCCCTGTGTAGAAGGGGATCCCTACTTGAACTCCCCAAAGAGAAAATGGTTGGTTGCCTACTATAGTAGCTGGGATCTATTGGGTACATGACCCGATGATTTGAGTGTGGCTAGTGTTTGGCCCCGAAAGGCTTGCTATGCACAGAACATGCTCTGGACAAGAGTCATATCATGTGGGTGTTTCCTAACATTTTGTTTCCCCCCCCAAGGCTGTTGGCTTGTGGCCTTTTGTTTCCCTTTCAAACCGACCCGAAGATAGAACTTTTTTCTCACCCATTCGGCCGGATTTGGCTTTGGCGAGCCCCGAGAAGTCGAGGAGTGTGCGACTGCGGGTGCGGGCGCTATGATCCCGACTGCGCCGGCACTGCGGGGAACCCGCAGGCCTCGAATTGCATCCATCCGGGCCGCAGGGGCGTTCTGATTTCCCCATGCTTGGTATTTCTAGGTCCCCAGTGCACTTTTACCGTTTCTTTTTCGGGGGGGAGGGGTCCCCTACTAAAAATAGACAAACAAGGGTACCCGCAACCTAGCCTCTCTACTGGAGTACCTAGGTTTGCTTCTGTGAATTTCTTTCCCTGGCTTTTCCAAAGGGACACGGGTCTTGGGGGAGGTCTCTTGGTTTTTACGCTTCTTGCAAGGTAACTTCGTCTTGCCAGTGTATCGGAATTATGTCTTGGGTGATGTTTGGGAAAATATCGGTGGCATTTAAGGCAGACGGGCGTTTTCTACCGAGAGGGACGCTTTTGCGGATCAGAGCTCGCAGTCTTCCAGCTTGATGCAGATGACTGTTTCTTTTTGATAGGGGGACCCTAAAATGGTTGGTTTCCTGTTGGTTTCGGGCAAAATACCAACTAAAGGAAAGCCATATCATGTTTTGGTTTGTTTGCCCTTTTACACCAAAGTGAAAAGGGTCGACTTAAAAGAACACAAGCCCATAATTCAATCTGGCGGTACGAACAGGCGAGCTGCATGTAGCTATTTGGGTCCAAACTGGGCAAGTGAGACATGGCCATATCTCGCCGTTAAATGCATTGCCTTTGGGGTTCCCCCAAAACAAATACACTTATACATCTTTGACTTATCTGGTCGGATCTTCAACCTTTCCCCACTGACCTTATCAACAAGTCGAGTGATTGTTCGCATCTGCCATAAGGCGTGGTGCGGGCAACCCAGGATCGCCCCGCGAGTCAAGCCTGGAACTGACCTTAACAACAAGTTGCCTCAACTGTTTGCAGCTGCTGTGTGTACAAGCCTTTGGTGCTGGCAGGCTTCGGCCACGCGGTGGCCGACCCAAGCTGGGGTCTCCGATCCCAAGACTAAGTGAAGGCCATGAAGGCGATCACTGGGCATGGAGGGCTCAGCATGGAGCATCTGCAGGCGGTCCAGAGGCTGCTCGTGAAAAAGATGCGGAAGCTGAAGAAGAGGTGGTGACATCTTAGGGTTGACTAAATGTGAACATGGTTTGACAAGAGCTTTTCGGTGCAATTACTCATCATTTGGGCCCGGTCATGATCAACGACAAGCAATTCCAACCCCCTCTTTGGCTATTTTCAAAGGGGGCCTGCTATCTGGTTTCACCGGGGTTACAGTAAGGTCTGCAGACACCGTTTGATTGCGGTTGGTGGAGCAACAGTGCATGGACTTTGGGGGGTTTGGCCATGTGGTGATCTTTGCCTGGAACGTGAAACCCGCATTCAAAGTCTGGAGTGTCCATTTTGAGTTAAAACCCTTTTTGGGTTGCCTTTTATTCGAAAACCAAAGAGAACCACTGGTTTGAGGTTTCCCCTTGGAGACAAACCCTGTTTGAGGCTTCCCAAGCTGCGATTTTTCAACAAGGTCTGTTCGTAGGGAATTGATGTTGGGGAAACCTCAAAATGGCGGTTTGCCGTTTGCCCCCTAAGAAGAGCTACTTCATGTTCATGGCCATCGAAGCTTGAGTTCTTGTTGCCACGGGTCACCTCTCTAATCTGCTGTTTGTTATTGCTTTGAACTTGCCTCCTTTTAGTGAAAGACTGGCCACCAAGGGGACCCAATTTAGATGACAATCCTGAACGATAACTGTTGGTGAACTGTGAACCTAGCCACAACGAATCCCTTGACATATTACCTAACCCACCATAACCCACTTTGCCACCATACCAAGGGTTGGAAAGTTAACCATTGGGTTAATGTTGGTCGGCCTGCCCGAATCCCAGGGTGAGGTGTTTTGCTTTCCCGCTTCGGGATCAATGGGGTCGGGCGGGAGCTTGTTGCTGTCTGAAAGCTAAGAACTACCGAGTGAGGATAATACGCTGGGTATACTTATTAGCAGAGACTTTGAATGTGTGGTGTTATCTTGGTTTCTTTTGAACAACATATCCCACTATGGTTCCTGAACTTTGTACTGACCTCTCCAACTTTGTGGCGCAGATTTGTTTGGCCCATAGGTGTCCTTTTTAGGTTATAGTTTGGGGAGTAATGGGTGGTAGGGATTTGGATGGTTGTTATTCCATGTGCCAAGGCCATCTATTTTACAAAAAGGACCTGGTTTCAATCCACTCAGGACGTGAGAGCAAATGGCCCGACTGGGTCCGGGATCGACAAAGCCGGCGCCAGGCTTACGCCGAAACTCTTACTTCCAACACAACCACTCGCAACTACTGCGTGGATGAGGCGCGACGGCGTGACGTTTTTTGTTTGTTTTTTTCACGCAAGGTGTCGATAGACTCCGCTTGTTGACCCCGCTTTCAGGTTGGGGTCTTTCAAATGAGCGTTTTCAAGCCCTGTGAAGGAAAGTGCTCTCGAAGCATCGCAAAAGACGGAGAGACTCATGAATCCTGAGGTCGATTCTCGCGCTCCGGGCGGGCAACAGGAGTAATTAGACATTAAAACGAAAGGATTACAGGTCCCCTGATGGGTAAACAAGGCCCAGTGGATCCCAGTTAAACTTATAGTAGTTCCTTTCCTTATTCGGGTGTTCCCTTGGTTACCTACCTATACCACGTAACTGGATCCGCTGGGAGGGATGGGAAAACCCGGGGGATGTGACGTCATTTTTACCCAAACTGACAGCTATATGGTCCTTACTTGGGCTCTGGACTGAAACCCGCAGTTCGGCCTCGAGCGTTTTCGGGCTCGGATTCGAATGGGGGTTTTGGTGTTGGAGACACCCGGGCTAATAATATGTTGTTTTCCAGACCTGCGTAACATCTTCTTAGAGGCCAACCCGTCAGTTCGAATAGCGCCTTGTCAAAAGCGAAAGGAGCTTTTGACCGTTTCGGTCCGTTTTTAGTTATGGTTAACTTTGTTTTTGTTGGTCCTTTGATCAACTGAGGAACTGGTATTCCCAACTTAAGGTTTGCGGCTCGATCGGATGGATGAAGAATTGCCTGGTTGATTCTTACGGGAGGCGTCCCGTTTTATTGGGGGTTCATCACTTTTTGGTGGGACCACATTGTAAGAATACATATTTTATTAATCTGGGGTCTACATCAATGTGTGCTTGATAATTTGGAATATCGTGCTTAGCGAAAACAACAAAGTCCTTCATTCGCCTCTCGTTGCTTGACTGGGCCGCTTTATAGTGCCAAAAGTAACTTGCAACTAACTTTAGCCCTTCGCCTTTTAGGTTGTTTCTTTTTATTTTCCCTTTCGACACACAAACATCCCGACACGCATGTTGCCATTTTCGGCGTTTGTTCTTTTTCGGTTGTTCATGTAGCCATTTGTTGCTTGTTCTACAAGTTTACCTGTTTGCCTTTGGTTTTTCCACGCTTTCTCTTTCAACCAACGAAGAATTCACTTGTTGCAGTCGTACGCCGTGACGCAGGCGTTGCTTCTCCTGAGCGATGGCTGGAACGTTTCGGCCAGGGGCCCATTTTCTTCTTGCGGGCCCTGATGGGGTTTGTCTCAAAATCAGGAACCCTCCAAGCAGGTGGTCTTCTTTGGTTTCCCTCTAAACCAACCCCAACTCCCTGAGTGCCTGTACTTCACACTTTCTGGGAGGACCATTTTGGTGGTAAACAAGAAGTTCAATCCTTTTGTAGAGGTTCAATCATTTTCCAGCGAATCCGCTCAGGAACTGATCAAAAAAGTGTACCCCGGCCGGAAGAAGACAAGTCACCCATATGGCCATGGGGCATAACCTATGGCTCCATTTTGGGGTGGATGAACATCCATTTGCCACCTATTTTGATGTTCACCAGGGGTACAGGGCTTTGACCCACACCCATATCTTAATTCCTTCCGTTGGTTGACGGCCAAGAGCCGGAGTCGGTTTTCCTGGGACATCTCTTCCGGCTTGAGCGCCCGCGTCTTTTGCCGGCTTGAAACAGCAACCTTCGGGCCAGCCGCGTGAACGGTCCCTATATGTCCCTGTTGCCGGCTTGAAACAGCAACCTTCGGGCCAGAAGGCAAGTTGTTGTTTTTTGCGGAGTGATGTTTTCAGGACATATAGGGACCCCCACAAAATAGGATTGCCTCAAAATGGAGGCAAAAGTGGTTGTTCCAAAAAAAAACGGATTGGGAACCCCCAAAGATGGTTTCCTGTTCAAAAACCTGAACAACCAGTTCGCCACACCCAGGAATCGGACGAGCCAGCCATACAGGGAACCCTAGGACCGAAGAAGGTCTGCACATTGATCCGCTTCCCATCCGCTTCCGAGCCAAGCCGCCTCTTTTTTTTTGTCGGGATGGGGAGGCTGAATGAGTACCAGCATTCCCTGGCCAAGATCATTCTAAATTCTAAGGCTGAATGTACAGGGCTCCTTAAAAGAAATCCATTTTGCAACCATTTGAAGCATGTTGCTCTTTCCACAAAAATAAGGGGAAACCACCATTGACAAGGCAATGGTCGGGTGTAGAATGTAAGGATCTTTGATGTATACACCCAGATATGAACCCCGATGAACCCCTAGTTTGCGGGTGAATTAAGCGTTAGTAATAGTTGAGTTATGGGAAGTGCGCCCCCCAAAAGGTCTAAAATGGCCATGGGTTCATGTATGGACCTGTACAATCAGCCTTTGAGTCATCAGTTCCAGTTTTTGGTTCTCCAACCCTCCCTCTCTACAATTAGGTAGCGCCTTAGCGCCAGAGGTGTCCTTTCTGGTTGTCCTGCTAGAAAATAGATGGCCCTGTTTTACTTGGTGGTTTAATTCTACCAGGGCCATCTATTTGCCCTACAAGGACACCTATGCTTAGCGCTGTGTGCCAGATTGGATGTAGCAATTCGGGTGGTTCCCGGGTACGAGAGGCTTGGCTGACTTGATCCAAGAGATTGGTCTTATCCCAGGCCGCTGCTGAAGCTTATTGAACCCATGGTGGGGTTGCCAGTTGGTTCCATTCGGGCGACGGAGTTGCTTGAAACATGCGGTGAAATGGAAGTTTCTCTGGCAAAGCGAGTTTCTGGACTTTGCGTTTTCTCGGGAAAAAAACAAATAACGGGTTTGTATTCTTGTAAAAATCCTGGGCATGCTCCCGAATTGCCTGGTTTTGGGAAGAGCCTTCTCCTTCGGAGCCCAGGATCCAGGCTGATTCCAAGCTTGGACTTTAAGACTTCTAGGACCATGTAAATAGAAAGCTTGGACTTGGTTGGTCAGTCCACTCAAAAAAGCGAGTCTTGTTTAAGTCGTTTCACATCACCTTGCAGTGGCCAAGGTGAAGTCAGTTGCCCGTTAGGGTGCAGTTCAAAGACAGGACTCCCCACAAATCAGGATGATTATCTCTTGGTTCTGGGTTCCAAGCAGACCATATTGTCTAGGTCCCCCAGCTAGGTGCCCTTTCTCACCCCTTTTTGGTTGGGAGGGTTGCCCTACTAAAATAGGCTACAGAAAAAAGGGTACCCTTATTCTAACCTCTCTACTGGAGGACCTAGTTGTTCAACGTTCCCAACAGGAAGCTTCCATTTGCTCCCTTGTTAGTTTTAAATGGAATCTATCACCAGTGGGCATATGTTTATTTTGTCAAGCATGCAAATGGAAAAAAGCCAAAAACAGATGGACCATTTTGCTTTTCCCCTGAGGTACAGGGCGCTTGCAAGGTCCTTGTACCACTCGGCGTGCAGTTGACCCCTCGGGCAAGTGTGTTTGCGCATCGAAAGGTACTTGAAAGCTCTGCGTACAAATGGGTATGTCCCTTTTAGCCACCCCCCCAAAAAAAGAAGAATCAACTATAAAATGAGAAATAATAGAATGGACATGTGTTGTCTCTTGATTTTCTCTAACCCCCCCCACCAAAAAAATAACAACAGAAGACAACAGACAAACAAACGCTTGAAGAAAGCCAAATCCATATGGTTGCGTCTTAAAATTTGTCATCCAAAAGGAAGATGGTCGACTTGGAGATCCACTTCTTATTCAAGCTGTTGGACTTATCATTCCATCTGCAGACAGGACACTCTAACAAATGATGGTGTCCTCTTTGGCTTCTCTTTAAAGTTCAAAAAGGGCACCCTCAAAAAGAAAGGCCCGAATTTTGTTGGTACATCCTTGTGGATATTGAGAGATTTCTTTGGATTGGATCTCCTCGGAATCATACTCTCATGGGCTTGGGGGGAAGGGGCACGGCATTTTTGACATTCCCTTGTTGTGAAGTTGTTGTTCAGGAACATGAAGAAGACATCAAGGTTTCTAGGCACCTAGTCAGACCATCAATAGATGGGGTTGCGCTTGAGGGTAACGACGCGTTTCACCTTTTGAAGGGAAACCGAAAGGAAAGCCACCATTTCTGTACACCCCTATTTTGACACATACCCGAGTGGGTGGTGTCCTTTGCAGAGTTGAGTACGCGTCGAAGTAGCGGCTTTCCTTTCGGTTCCTCTTCAACTAACCTAAAGCAAGGTACCCTGAAAAAGAAACACACACACACACACATGACGCACGCACACACGCACGCGCAGCAACAAAAAACTTGAGAACTATGGTTGTCATGCGAAACGTCAGTGGGTGAAACGTTCAAAAGATTGAGTCCAAAGAGCAATCACCAGCCCAAAAGGCGTGTTTTTTTTTTGATTCCGGGCCAACACATCCAGGTCTCCACTGCTGGATGCCAGGGCTACGTGCATGTGCGCCTCAATGCCGGGAACTTTCAGAGATTCGCCCGTTTTGCATGGCCTGCGCAGGATTTGTTCGTCCCATCCGAAATGAGAAGGTCAAAGCTACTGTGGATGGACGAAATCTATTCGCACGGCTTTGACACCGTGGGAAACCATGTTTTTTGTTGGCATTTACAATTGGAATCATCATTCCATTCTTTCTTAGGTGGTGCGAAATGGATTTCGCCCATCCACCGTAGGAACCCGAGTGGAGCAAAACAAGTGAAAACACCACCAGCCCCGTTAGCATGTCGCAATCAAAAACCGCTGGGTGCCCACAACCTTCTGCGTTTAGGGTTGACTTAGGACAGAATCTGTTTTGTGCATTCTGCTTGGATGTTAGGACTTTTTGCCAACTAATGGATTTTCCATTAAACCACTCAAAGTTAAACTTTTAGCAGGGGAGCAGAAAGCAACCAACATCTGGAAATGTGACTTCCGGAACACCCCATATGAAGCAGAGGAGAAACACCGGTCTACCATGGTCGGAGTTTGTGGGAGACTTCGCACGTTTGACTTCTATGGTTTTAAGCCCTCTTTGCCGTCTAGAGTCTTGTAGCTTGAAGCCTTGATGGCCTTATTTTATCCTTCGCCTCAGCAAATGCGCAGCGCCCAAAACCTGTATTGGCCACTTTGGTTGTTGGTTTTGATTGGGGTTATAGTGACGCTTGTACAAAGCTTTGCAAGCATGCAAGAGCCAAGCTTCAGCTTGGATGTCATCCAGGCGCTCAAAAACCCTAGGATTACAGGTTGACCCAATTTAGATGATGATACCTGTTAACAAAGATGGTTAAATTAACCCCCGCTGTTTCAATGGTGGGTTTGATCCCGGGGCAAACGGTTGGATCATTTGTTTCTCCGGGACCTCACCCCAGCTTTTCTTGGTGCCCTTTGAGTTGATGGTTTGGATGTTAGAATGGGTCAACGTATCTCCTTAGGTAACTTCCAAGGGACCTTTAGGGCAGGTCAAGCCCCTAAACCACCAACGCAAAGCACAAGTTTATTAGGGATAGCCCGATCCACCACTTAAGATACGTGCATGTCGAAGTCCTGGAGCAATGCTTGTGTCTGAATCAATGCGTTCCATGCTATGCGCTGCTCTTTTTGCGACAACGCCGCTAAGATAAATGCGTGTCTTTGTATTTGGGTTCAAATACGGGACCTCCTTCTCCTTCCCTCTCCTTTTGGCGATGTTAACCGGAAAGCCAGAAGGATAATTACCATGCCCTGATTCCAAGCTAAACCCACCATAAACCGAACCCCAAACTAACACTATACCTTCCATTTGCTGGACATATTTGATTTTTGTTCCAGGGGTCTTAAGCAAATGGAAGATACCCACTGGAAATCCCCAACCCCTCGTCCCGGTCTAACACGCGTTTTGCCGCGTGTTCGCCTGAGGACGTGGAGACTGCACCTACGCCATGGATTCCGCGTGGCGTTTGTCAAAGGCATGGCGGTGGACGTCGGTTTTGGGTTACCCGAAATGAGCAGCGCAGATCCTATTCATCCATTTGCTTAAGAGTATTTGTTACTTTCCCCTGTTGGATTTGAGAGGGAATCTATCACTACTGGAAGTATTGTTTTTTTTTGGGGGGTTGTTGTTTTTTTCCTTTTTCAGGGGGCTGAAGCAAATGGCAGCATTGGCCGTGTTCTTTGGTGGTTCTACTACCAGCGGACGTTACAAGGCCTATATAAACCATTGCAACCATGCTGAAGTAGAACCAAGGCGCTGCTCAGATTGGGTTTCTGCTT